TCTACAGCAGCTGTGCGGACGCAGGCATGGCAGCGAAAGTGGTCGCACTAGTCGCACCAGGGGGAAAGGGTTAGCCGTAGTGGTGGTAGTAGTAATAGTAGCAGCAGTTTGGGCAGCAGTAATAAAAACGCATAAAAGTAGTCAGTGTAGAAGTGGAAGTGATACACACAGAAAGACTAGTGGTGGTAGTAGTAGCGTATTCGTAGACATGATGAAGCCATCAATCCTAGTGGTCGTGATGGTAGCAGTAGTAGTAGTAGTAGTAGCAGCAGCAGCAGCAGTAGTAGTAGTAGTAGTAGTAGTAGTAGTAGTAGTAGTAGTAGTAGTAGTAGTAGTAGTAGTAGTAGTAGTAGTAGTAGTAGTAGTAGTAGTAGTAGTAGTAGTAGTAGTAGTAGTAGTAGTAGTAGTAGTAGTAGTAGTAGTAGTAGTAGTAGTAGTAGTAGTAGTAGTAGTAGTAGTAGTAGTAGTAGTAGTAGTAGTAGTAGTAGTAGTAGTAGTAGTAGTAGTAGTAGTAGTAGTAGTAGTAGTAGTAGTAGTAGTAGTAGTAGTAGTAGTAGTAGTAGTAGTAGTAGTAGTAGTAGTAGTAGTAGTAGTAGTAGTAGTAGTAGTAGTAGTAGTAGTAGTAGTAGTAGTAGTAGTAGTAGTAGTAGTAGTAGTAGTCAGTAGTAGTAGGCGTAGTAGTAGTAGTAGTAGTAGTAGTAGTAGTAGTAGTAGTAGTAGTAGTAGTAGTAGTAGTAGTAGTAGTAGTAGTAGTAGTAGTAGTAGTAGTAGTAGTAGTAGTAGTAGTAGTAGTAGTAGTAGTAGTAGTAGTAGTAGTAGTAGTCGTAGTAGTAGTAGTAGTAGTAGTAGTCGTAGTAGTAGTAGGTCGTAGTAGTAGTAGTAGTAGTAGTAGTAGTAGTAGTAGTAGTAGTAGTATAGTAGTAGTAGTAGTAGTAGTCGTCGTAGTAGTAGTAGTAGTAGTAGTAGTAGTCGTAGTAGTAGTAGTAGTGTAAGTAGAAGTAGTAGTAGAAGTAGTACTAGTAGTAATAATAGTAGTAGTAGTAGTCGTAGTATTAGTAGTAGTAGTAGTAGTAGTAGTAGTAGTAGTAGTAGTAGTAGTAGTAGTAGTAGTAGTAGTAGTAGTGGTCGTAGTGAACGTGGTACTCGTAATACTAGTAGTAGTAGTAGTAGTAGTAGTAGTAGAAGTAGTAGTAGGAGTAGTAGTAGAAAAAGATGTAGCAGTAGTAGTCGTAGTAGTAGTAGTAGCAGTAGTAGTAGTAGTAGTAGTAGTAGCAGTAGTAGTGGTAGTTGCAGTAATAGTAATAGTAGTAGTCATCGTCGTCGTCGTAGTAGTAGAAGAAGAAGTAGAAGTAGAAGTATAAGTAGACTTAGAAGTAGAAGTAGTAGTAATAGTAGTAGTTGCAGTAGTAGCCGTGGTAGCGCTAATCGTAGTAGTAGTAGTAGTAGTAGTAGTAGTAGTAGTGGTTGTCGTAGTAGCGGTAATAGTTGTCGTAGTGGTGGTGGTGGTAGTGGTGGTGGTTGGAGTAATAGTAACATTAGTAGTAGCAGTAGTAGTAGTAGTAGTAGTAGTAGTAGTTAGTAGTAGTAATAGTAGTAGTAGTAGTAGTAGTAGTAGTTGTTGTAGTAGTAATAGTAGTAGTAGTAGTAGTAGTAGCAGAAGTTGCAGTCGCAAGAACAGTACACATAGCAGTACGAATCACAGAACAGGTCACCAGAAGAGCAATAGCGGTGGTAGCAGACATATCACTCGCGATCGTACGAACTATACCCAGGATGGGCAGCCCGAGCAATGAGACTAACATTCGCACGGGGAACGTTCATATCAACTCGCCGGCCCACCGGGCCATAGGCGTGCTAACATCTCCGGTAGCAGCATTTCACCCTTACGATTCGAGCGCGCGTGGCCCCAGACAGTACCCTGGGCGCCCCCCGGGCGGTGGTCCTCACGGATGCCGAAATTCCCGGTGGCGGTCGTCGGGCCCCCCAGGAGCGCACTGGGAGCTCTCCGAGGGACCCCCAGGGAAGCCCGAAGAGGTCGTTCGAGCCGGGATCCACGGCTGGCAGGTGCCACGGCTGCCTCCAGGCAGCACCAGAGCGCTCTGCGATAGCCTCCGAACGGTCAAATGCAGCTCCAAAGGGGCCTCCAAGATGCCAAACTCACGCATGTTGCTGAATGTTTGACAGATTCTCGCGTTACCGCTTGTCCGATCTCCGACCGCCCTGTACGGCCCGATCAGCCCCAAAGATTGCTGGTCCCAGCCAAGACGCTCCAAGGACGGCCACGGGGTGGCCCAGGAAGGCCAGAAGATGGCCCAAGAGGTCATCCAAGAAACCTCCAAGCCCCAGCGAAAGTCCGAAGAGGAAGAACCCGAATTGAAATCTCAAACTCCTTCCCGCCGTGTGGCCCCCACACTACCAGAAAACCCCAAAGAGGGCCCCAAGAGGCCTCCAAGAGGCCCCTGAAAGGCCCCCAGCGGCTGCCCAGGCAACCCGAAGACAC